GGGGCTGCCCTCGCCGCTCTAAAGCGCTTCTCGGTTTATCCTCCTGGCATCTGAGTGGTGCGGAACTGGTGCGGGCTGGTCGTGGTATCCTTGCGGTGTTAACTTCTTCCGTAAATATTTACGTTTAATTTTGTGTTGGTGAAGGCCGTGTCGGGATTTCTGAGTTAATCTTCCTGTGTGATATCCCACGGGTGGCTTGGAAGACTTCGGTAGCTTTCTGGGAGTGTCTTTGAATTTAGAAGGGCGGTGTCTTAAGTTTGTTCTGGTTCCTCTGTGTAATCTCCGTGTTCGTTTTCCACAGTATGAGTGGGATCACCCAGTTCCCAAAAGGAAAAGACTCCCCCCGGTTAAGAGGTCTCTGGTGTACTACCTGAAAGGCAGAGAGGTTAAGTTGCAGAGTGAGTCCAGCTACCGCCGCGTGTTGCACGGATACGCAGCCCAGCAGCTTCCCAGCCTCCTGAAGGAGAAGGAATTCCACCTCGGAACCCTGAATAAAGTGTTTGCCTCCCAGTGGCTGAACCACCGACAGGTGGTGTGTGGGACAAAATGCAACACAGTAAGTGCCACTTGTTTCCCTTCCCTCTGTTAGTTATTCCATGTCCAAGTGGTGCCTGCTGTGGCCAAGGAAGACATAGATATAACTTTTATATATGTTATATACATAACATATATAAATAACTTCCCTAGAAATTCTTAGAAGTGGAGTCAAAATCACACACAACTCATTTTGAAGGGAGATAGTGCTTAATGATGCCCTGTTCCCATCTGAAAATATGGTGCTGAGCAGGTGGCTGCAAACCCAGACCTGTGCCTGGATGCAGCATCTGTCCTAATTTGCACAAGGTGACTGACATCTGTTTGTGGGATGGAGGGCAACCATGGGGTTGGATCTTTCTTCTTGTCCCACAGATGGGCAGTTAAGGACCAACACTAGCTTTGCTCCATGGTAACTGTCATGCCTGGCACAAGTTGTACTAAGACTCTTCTTTTTCTTAGGCTCTGTGTGGTACAGTAGGTTTTATGGATGATTCCATGCTAATGATTCTGAAAAGTTACTACAAAGTTAAACCCTGTGGTTAAACTCCAAATATTCACCAGAGTAGCTAGAAATGTTCCAGGCTTAAAATATTAATAACAGATCTTCAGGATTATTCTTCGCTTGTTCACTTAGTGTTTGTTGTTGTTTTTGTCACTCTTTGTTTTCAGTGTTCCAGTAATTTCTCTTATTTCTGTACCATTATGTCCTTCAGCAAAAATCAAAACTTCTTTAGGCTCTCAAAATGCTGCTTTGGATTTGATCCATTATAGGGGAATATTGAAATTATGTCCCATGTGATGATCACACTTTTTAGGTAGTATTCTCTCAGTTGGAGTTAATAGCCCGGTTTCATTGGCTGTGTTTGCAGTTGCTTCAAGGAAGTTCTGATTCAATTTGTGCAAGATCCCAAAGTTGTTGTTTGCAGGTTGGTTAGTGCCACAGGAGTGAGTTGAGTGTTGTAAGGAATGTGTAGATCAAGCAGCTCTTAAAGCTCAAAGTTTAACAGCTGGTGTGGGGGTTTTCTTGTGGGTTTTTTTTGCCTTGAGGTTTTATTTTTCACAGGAGAGAAAATCCCTCACTTGCAAGGAACAGAAGTAGATTATTTTATTTCAATTTCAATTGTTCTGTTATTAATCATGGTCACACAGCAGGAGGCTTTCAAGCAGTAGCTCTGAAGAAGCCAGGCCTACAGGTACAAGACCCCCAATGTTTTAAGAAGAATGAGCTTGAAATAGAAGTACTCTGCTGCTTTTTCCATGTGTGTTCATCTCCCTGGCAGATCAGCAGCCAGCACTGCTCATGGAGCAGCTTACAGGAGACAAACTCCTGCCAAAACACAAGCTCTCAGAAAACTTGCTTATCCCAGTAAGATTGCTGCATGTTTTATAGAACTGCAGCAGTTTTGCTGTGTTCTGTAACTTGTGCAGTTCCTGCCCTGCTGCAGGGAAGGTAAATGGGCAAGTGCATTGTCAACACAACCTGGCAGAAAGTGGTTTGAGACTCAGCAATTGCAGAACTTAAGAGGGATTCAACCATATTGTTGCTTCCACTGCCTATTCTGCAGTGAAGTGTGTGATTCCACAGCTGAGCTAAACCTTACAGGTGGACCTCATTTTACATTAAGCACAGTGATTACAAAAGAAGTCACTTCAATGTTGTGAAAGATTGTGTATGAATTATGAATACTGTAAGAGCTTTAGCTTGGTTGCTTTTAAAGTCTACACTCTAATTGTGAGATTTGCTCTCTCATCTCCTGAGCAAGCCACCTAATAAAGAAGAATTCCTTTGCTGATTCTCATACAATGAAGTTGTGACGTTTGAGAGTAAATATAAAACAACTTGGTTGACTTTAATGGGGTTTGCTGCAGTGGAGTTGTGTGTAATTAAAATTAGTTCAACAGAAAAATATAAACCATAGCAGTTACCTTAATCAAAGCTTGAATGTGGCATTGAGAGCTTTTAGCATTTAATTTATAAATTGCCCTTGGCTATGCCATGTCTTAAGGATTCACCATTTTTAATAACAAAACAAAAATACACTCCAGTCATAAGAGTAGGTTTTCTTTTAATCACTTAGCTTTACTAATCACCAGAAACACTGAAGAGAATATGGAACACACTGTCAATTGCTTATTTTTCATTAGGGTTATAACTGGTTTAGGTTTTTTTGAATAACCTTTTTTTTTTCTTAAAAATATGCCTGTTGATTGTGTGTATGAAATAACTTTATTGTTTTCAAGAGTATCAACATCTTCTTTTCAAGCTTCCTTGAGAAGCTTTGGGAGACAAGCTTGTAGCAAACAAAAACACTGAGTATGAGATAGCTGAAGTTTTCTTCTTTTTTTTTTTTTTTTTTCCTCCCTCACAATTTTCAGGAAACAAGAATAAAGCAGCTTCTAGAAAGAAGCTTCAATAATAATTTTACAGCTTCTTTTGTTCCCTTATTTCCACGTATATTTTCAGGAAACAATTTTTTTTTTTTTGCTAATTGTGAAGTTCAGGATGAAAAAATGCAAGAGTTGTACATCATTCCCTGAATACAAGCAGCTAATTAAGTTTCCAGTTCCTTGAGAGCAGAATTACTTCAAATAAATCTATTTCTTTTTCCCAGGCAGCACTGATAGGTATATTTGTATTTAAAAACTTCCTTACTGAATGCTCTCCTGGTTTGTCAGGTAGGTTTTCCAAGGCATGAATGGGTTGCTTTCTGAATACCAACTGATACCTTTTCTTTCTCTGGTAGATCCATGTGTTGCCTTGGATGCCCTGCTGTAAACCACCAACTATCACTTCTGCTTAGAGACTTGAAATTTGTTCAAGAGATCCCCCTGTCTGTTCTGTGCCTCTCTTAGAATTATAACCTAGTCTTCTAGTCCAGGGGTTGTATTGGTAATGGATACAATGCACAGCTGTTCTTCCATCCTTCATTGTAGACTCTCTATGGGGAAAATTATTTCCAGTTGCTTTGCAAGTTAACGTATCTTCTGGCTTTGCAGCTGTAATGAAAAACCCACAAGTCTGTTTGTTTCTGATTCCAGTGGGGAATGAGAAGTCATGCCCCTGGAGTTTGTCGCTGTACTCAAATGGTCACTAAACAGCGACAAAAAGTCAGAGTAAAGAAACATCTGGTACCTACAACTGGCACTCCCATTCACCTTTTTTTCAGTGGTTGATGAGTTAACAGAGAGGTGCTATTTCTTGTCTCAGGAGTGTTTGGTTCTCTGTCAACAGCATGGGGTAACCATGTCTGTCTTTGGAGTCTCGTGGTTTCTGTGGGTGGTAGAGATGCCCTTTAGCAGGCAAAGTCTGGCACTTATCCATCCTTTGCCATTTGTTGACATGTGATAACAGTCTGACAGCATCCTGAAATGACACAGAGGGCAAGATATAAACAAAAACTGGCAAAAGTGATTTTGGCAGTGAACAAATTCAGTGACATCAAAGTGTGTGCCCACTAGCTAGTAGTGCTTGGAGTTTCATGGCAGGGTGGAGTGTCTGATTACACATGGTCTTGTCTGTGGAAATGTAAATTCTGAGTCAGTCAATTTGCTGGCTACTTTTATTGCTTCTTACTTCTCAGATGTCTTTTTATATTCTGGATTGTTTAAGAGGATTCTGGATTGTTTAATCCTCCTTTTAAGGAGGATGTGAAAGGCCATTACCCACTTGTGTCACCTGTACTGCACAACCTGTGAGTAGGTTTTGTGCTGAGATTAGTATGTGTTAGTGCATGGCTGATGCGGTTGACAAGTTTCACACTTGGAAAGTCATGGCAGTCCCTGGCAACTGGAAAAAGGGAAACATCGCATCCATTTTTAAAAAGTGTAGGAAGCAGGTCCCTAGGAGCTACCAACCTATCGGCCTCACCTCTGTGTTTGGGAACATCATGGAACAGATCCTCCCCAAAGCTATGCTAAGGTACATGGAAGATAAATAGGTGATTTGAGACAGCCAGCATGGCTTCAGCAAGGGCAAATCCTGCCTGACCAACATAGTGGCTTTCTATGATTGGAGTGACTACGTCAGTGAACAAGGAGAAACCAGTGGGTGTTGTCTATCTGGACTTCTGTAAGGTCTTTGACACTGTGTCCCACAACATCCTTCTCTCTAAATTGGAGAGGTAAGGATTTGATGGGTGGACAGTTTGGTGGATGAGGAATTGTTTGGGTGATGGCATCCATAAGGTGGTCAACAGCTCAGTTTCCAGATGGAGATGGGTGACAAGTGGTGTCCCTCTGTGGTCCATACTGGGATCAGTCCTCAGCACAGGAAAGACGTGGATCTGTTGGAGTTTGTCCAGAGGAGGACCACAGAAATGATCTGAGAGCTGGAGCACCTTTCCTATGGAGACAGGCTGAGAGAGTTGGGGTTGTTCAGCCTGGTTCTGGGGAGACCGTATAGTGGCATTTCAATACTTAAAGGGGGTGATATGAAGGGGGGCACAGACTTTGTAATGGGGCCTGTTGCAATGGACAAGCAGTAATGGTTTTAAACTCAAAGGGAGTATATTCAGATTAGATATGAGGAAGGTACTTTTTATTGTGAGGGTGGTAAAACACTGGAACAGGTTGCCCAGAGAGATTGTAGATGTCCCATCCCTGGCAACATTGAAGGTCAGATTGGACAGGGCTCTGAGCAACCTGATCTGATTGAAGATGTCCCTGCTCACTGCAGGGAGTTACACTAGATGACCTTTAAAGGTCTCTCCCAGTCCAAACCATTCTACAAAACTATATTCTGATCTCCACTGGAAAAGAGAAATATGCCAGCTTAGTAGCTTAATCTTTCAGGAATCCAAGTTTCTCTGGAACTTGGTATATATTAGTAAATCTGTGTTGCCACAGAATGGAAGAACCTTCCTGCAAGTGTTGAATGAACACAGAAGTGGGATTCTTACAATCTGCATAAAAAGCAAGACTGAGAAATGAGTGGAAACAAACAGTGCTACTCAGTTTGGCCAGCAATAGTATTGGTGTCATGACATTGTAAGCATTGTCTTGCTTTTGTTGTTATCAAACAACATGTTTGAAGGAGAACAGTGATGTAATTTTCCAGCTTTGTTGAGGGTGAAATTTTTGTGACCAGGTTAGCTGGTCTGGAGTTTTGCCATTGCAGAACAGGATGTTCCCACCTGCTTGCTCTTGCTCGTACTGATGTGCATGGCTGGGGAGTCAGCTGGATCAACTTGCTGCTTTGTGTTGAAATGAGTTTTCTTGTAGGGTTAGTTTTCATGAAAGACAGAGATATGATCCAGTTGACCTCTTAGCTACCTGAGGACTAGTTGCTGTCATAAGGATGGTGAGATTTTCTGGGTGAGGGAGTAGCACATGGATTCTCAAAGACTAGCTTGAGCTAGTCCTGAAGCTTCATCATGTCTCTTAGTTTTCAGGAAGGCAATGTGTTCATCTTGGGTTTCTTTCAAATGTTGGTATGAATGACAAGAATGTGTCTGTGATTTCTGAGAGCAGTATTTGAAGAGCTGGGGCACAGAGCACATCATGAGCGCTTCTTTTTGCGTGAAGAATAAGCAGTCTCTTTCATGCATGTTCTTTGTGTCTTGTAAATCTGTCTGTGTTTCTGTAATAAAAACATGCTGTAGCTCAGGGTGACACCCTTTATTTTTGTTCTGTTAACTCAAAACCAAGGCATTCTGTTCTGCTGTTCTGTGTGCAGGGGCAGCAGCAAAGGACGTAAGAGTCTACATGCTGCCTTGAAATGGCATTTTGTAGGCCTGTTTTTTAATCTTTCTCTATAAAGTCAATGCTTTCATTTAAAGATGCATAGGAAGGGCACTTATATTTAATTAATTGGTGGCTTTGTTTTTGTTTTAGTTTGTAGTTGTTGTTTTTTTCCCAAAGCTATTGTTTCTGAAAGGCAGGTGAAAAAAAGGAAGTAGAATTGATGGAAGAAAACCATTCTGCTCTCAGTATTGTGTATTTTTCAGTTTCGAGTCTGGTCTTCAGATTCATGGTTTCCTGCCACAGTCTTTACTTCTGGCAAGTTGATTAATGTAGTTCCTTATTCAGTGAAGTGGGGCAGTTTCTTGATTAAATTGACTGTAAGCAGTTTGAAAGTGGGCCAGCCACGTAGTAATTATGTGGGAGCCATTTGCCAAAATGACTACTCACCACTCCTGCAAAACAAAGTAAAATAAGCATACAGCTCATGGTCAGATCATGGAGATTTGTGGTTATAACTAGAACCTACCCATGCCAGTCTGCCTTGATCCTTGAGTGATAGCACTTGCAAGCTGTACATCTGAAATGCTTAAAAAAAAAAAAAGAGGGAAGATGGATTTCTCTCTGTTGCATCATTCAGACTGTTTCCTTGTTAGAACAGGATTGTCCTGCAGGGATTATGATAGCTGAGTCTGTTCTGATTTTCACAGATGAATTGTTGGTCCTGGAACTTTGGGCAGACAGCCAAAGCAGTTCTGGCTTGGTTAAATCCTGGATGTTAAGTTATTTGGCATGCTAATAACTGGCATGTGTAAGTTTTACTAAGGAAGAAGAACTGAATTAATTATGTGCAAAGCTTAAAATTGAGGGACCAATATGTATAGTTCACTGAGGTTGATGGGGGTATACTGCATGCAGGAAGAGTTGCGGGGGGGCTGGTTTTTAGTTTCTATATAATAAGTAGCTGGAGAAGCTATTTTGCCTACTTAAGATTAAAAAAAAACCGTAAGTGTATAGTTCAGCTATTAAGAGTGCAGGCTGCTTTAGAGTTATTTGCAGATACACTTATTTCAAGAGAAGTGAAGGTACCCATTTGCTTGGAAGTAGACCAATTTCTGTTTTTTCTTTGGATTTATGTCATTGTATGCCATCATTTTGGTTGTGTTTGTTTAAAAGCAGTCATATTTTGTACTTTGTTTATTATAGTATCTCTAAAACTCTTAAAATGGTATTAATTTTTTTCATACTTACCTGGGTGCCTATCTTGTTTCTTAACATTTCTCCTTTTTGGCTTTAGAGGTGTCTAACAAAGGTAAGGCTTCTCTTATCTTCCCTGTAAATCCAATAAACAGAAGCCTTCTTGGCAATCAGTGGTGCATCTTTCAAGTGTGAGCTCCCAGTTTCCTGTCCTTCCCCAGATGATGCAAGAGTCCTAGCATACAAAAACAGGGCTTGCTTATTTTATTTTAGGGAGGTTGTGGTAGTTTTTAGCTAGCCATAGTGTGCCAGACTCCTTAACCAAGCAAAGGGAGGAGTTACTGCTTACAACTTGACAGCTGAAACTACAAAGCCGGTCCCTTAACTATACTAAGTTTCTTGCCCTAAGAGCAGTTGCTGTTCCGGTTGAAGTGATACTGTGCAAGGGGAGGAGGAAAGGGAGGAAATGACAAAGCAATTCAAGGGCTGATGGCAGATAAGAGTGGGGTGGAAGCCGTTGAAAGCACTGCAAGAAATATGTCCCGTTGCTGCTTCTGAGAATATCTTAATTTGGAAACTTGTTACAGGAAAATGATGTTGAGGTTGAGTCCAGGACAGAGATGTGAGGCTCTAGTGCTTCAGCATTGTGTGTTTCCAAGTTCTTTTTCTTGTCAGCCCATTTAGTTTAGAGTTTAGCTAAAGGAATTTTTGCATTAGATCAAGTCTTCCATTAACCTTGTGTAGAACTTGAATGTATGACTGTGTCAGGCTGGGGAATGTGAAAGGTTTTTAATTTTCCTCTTACCTGTTGACATGCTCTGTGTGAATCTCTTACAGCTGAAGCACAGTTTTCCCAAGTCCATGGACATCTTGAGATGTGGATGTATTTTCCTAATTAGCACTTCTGGAGCTAGCATTAGGACCTGCAGATGACACCTGCAAGCCTGAATCTTGGGCACCTAACTTGATTTTACGGATTTTTTTCAGTAGTTGAAGGAGTATAGGGGAGGGAATTGTGTGTTTCTGCTGGAGAGAAATACTGAGGAGGAAAAGAGTATATGCACTCATAGGGGAAGGACAAGGGAGGATGAGAGGAGAGAGAATTACTAGTCCTGATCCTGTAGAGCAGGTGTTAATTTTCAGGGATGTGGTTAGGGGAGAAGGGCTGCTGTGGGGTGGGGTGTTTTTGCCAGCTGTTGTAGGCAGTGAACTGCATCCAAAGCCTTGGGAGAAGTGAGAAGTGCCTCCCTTATACTCAACTTGCCTGACCTCACACCTGCATACAAAATGATGAACTAAACACGAAAATTTGGTTCCTGTAGCAACAGTCATCTGTTGGTGCAAGACTGCTGCCCAGAAGAGGACTTGTTGCGGGTTGAAAGTGATGCATAATTCTAGACACAACACACAAATAGCAATGAACGGATTTCATCTTTGCCTGTAGAAAGAGTTTAACATGTCACACTTTTATTGTGTTTTGAATTTACAATATTCTGCTAGTTCAGTATCTCAAGAATACTAGATGATATGGGGAAAGGTCTATCTTCTCTCCCCCCACATAAGACTAAACAAAACACACTGCTAGATTTTATTGAGGGTTTTTTTATGCTTATTAAAGAACAGATCTATAATGTGTGAGAGTTCACCAAAAGCAACTTGTATGTGTAACTCTTGCCCTAACTCTTTGAGAATGTCTAAATTTCTCTTCCATGCATCTAGAAATGTCTGACAAAGGATTTCAGAACAATTTCCTTGAGGTCTGTATTTTTTAACTGCACTGAGTTTTCTGTTTTTTTCTTCTTGTCTTCTCCCTTCCAGTTCATTCCCAGAGGCTTTGAGACAGTAGTTTTTGGTTATAGAAGGAACAAACTTGGGGGTGGTGGAAGGTGGTGTAGTGTAATTATAATCCCAGGCTGTGTTTCTGCTTAACTTTCCTTAGTGCCACGTCAGCTTCAGATCCTCCATTTCCTTGCTTTGCTCATGTTCCATCCCCAGGGCTTTCTCCCCACTGTTTTACCCATTTGGCTATTGGTACAACTGACTTGTGAACAACATCTGTGAAATTATCCAGCACAGGAGCCATCCAAATGAAAGTGCACTTTGGCAGGCAATGTAAACTTTTGTTCTGCTTTAGATTGTAACCCTATGGTTGTGTATGTTTGAACTGACATAGGTCTGGGTATAATGATGTGTGTTTGGAGTTGAAAGGCTTTACAACTGAGTTTGCTGCCAAGAGGACAGTGACATAGAGCTACAACTCCTTGTCTTTTTGCAGGATGAGCTAGACATCTTTTTTAGATGTTTGCACTGGCAGTACTATATTTAGTTACTATTCTCTGTGTATCACTAGAAACTAAACTCAAATTACAGAACTTTTATATAAAGTATCAGTTTGCCAAGGCCAAAACTTCATGGCAAGTATCTTTTCTGGGAGGCAGATGACGTGTGCTAAGCCTCCGGGGCTTACTTGCTCTTGTGAGGTGGAGTCTAGTTTATTTGTTATAAGAAGGAATTTATGCATTTTCAGCTGTACTAGCAGGATTTGTGTGTTCCAGTTTGAAAAAAATGTCAATTCAAAGTAAGGAGGACATTTGACCATCTTATTTGTCTTACTTGTTTGATGATGACTTGCACCTCCCATTGTTTGTGTTTTCCCAGTTATTTGTAGTAGATGTCCAGACTGGTCAAATTACCAAGATTCCTATTCTGAAGGATCGTGAGCCTGGCATGGTGAACCAGCAGGGGTGTGGTATTCATGCCATTGAGCTCAACCCCTCGAGGACCCTTCTGGCCACAGGTGGAGACAACCCCAACAGTCTTGCCATTTATCGTCTGCCTACACTCGATCCTGTCTGTGTGGGAGATGTAAGTGGGAGTACGTGGGGGAGGTTTATTCTGTCACTTTCTGGAATTACTACTTAGAAGTGCTTAAGGTCAGAGCAAGGTTAAGATTTGGGAGTCCTGTCCCAGAGAGTGAATTTCTGAAAGTCTGAACAAATTCCTGATTTAAGTTGTCTTTTTCTAACAAGGTATTTTAAATATGAGTGAGTACACAAAGACGAGACAATTCTGAAGGTTTTGAGTCAGGTTTCTTCTAACTTACCCTCATTCAGGTCTACTTAAAATTACTTCTAAGTACTAAAATGTAACAAAATCCTGAATGTTGATGTCTAATTGTGGTGATGACCTCTGAAGCTAGTTTTAGTGAAGAAGTTCTTTTAAGAATTTGAGAAGATGATACAAGTTGTTCAGTTTTTCCCCTTTTCCAGTGCAGTTTATGCATGTATTATTATTATTATTCCAGAGGCCATCATGAAGCCTTTTTAAAATAGCTAGTTTTAAAAGAAAGACGGCTGAAATTAGTATTGTGGTATTCTGAAAGCACTTCTTTCTCATTTCTCCTTCTGGATTCAGGACTTCACAGAGGTTTCAATTACAACAGCAGAGGTCCTGTCAGAGTTTCTTCAGAGGCAGATAACCAGCTGCAGAAAGGCTCCACTCTGAGGACTGCTTTTAGTTTGTGGTCTGCTGTGACTGTGAAGCTTTTCAAACAGAATTAGACCCTTAGTCTTTTTCCCCCCATAGGTTTCTCACCTGCTAAAGAAAAGATTCTTGAAGCAATAGTCTTAAAAGACTGATCTCTAGGTCATACTGTAAACATAAGGATTTAGTTACTTTTTATAATAGGGATATACATGTGAGGAAATGCAAGTCTATAGCTATTTTACAGAAGTGAAGAATGCTCTTTCAAAATGGAAAATCTAAGTCATTAGAATTGAGATCAATTTGTCCTTGTTCAGAGACCTGTTTTTCCATCACATAATTGCTCTTTGTACACTTAAAAATTAAAAAAAAAAATTAAATTACTGATAGGTAATTAAACTGCTGTAGCTTAGTACTGGAATCTTATCTGTATGTTTTTAGTGTAGGTCTGTCCTTCTGAGTTCATACTAAAAATTAAAATTAAGAATACTTGTTTGCTTTGAGACTACTCTATAGAGTATAACGGCACAGAAAAATGTTTTGTTTTTCTTTTAGGATGGACATAAGGACTGGATATTTTCAATTGCTTGGATCAGTGATACTATGGCTGTTTCTGGTAAAGTACATTTTTTTCCTCTGTAGTTTTTGTTTTGTTTCTTTTCCAGAATTTTATACTGATGTACAGCACTTCATGTGTCTTGGGGAAGCACCCTTATTGGGGAATTTGAAACCACTTAGAACTACCTTGGCTATTTAAACCCTTCTTGGTCTTAGAACAGGACTTCATTTTATTTGTAGTGCCCTGCTCTAGGCTTTATTTTTCTCATATTGAAGGGAATACTCCTGTCTTTCCAGTAGGTGTTGCCATGAGAAGATCTCTAGACATGATGAATTCCACACAACATGAATAATTTCAAGAGGGATACTGATTATCAGTTATTAGCTTTGGAATACAGTACAGCAATAGTGGTTTCCTGAAATCCTGTGAAAGATTAATTAATGAAGACTTTTTTTTTGTGTGTGTGTATATATATGTATATGGCAGTTAATAGAAGGCTGTAATAGAAAAGGTCAGTTACTGACTTTTCAGTAACTCGTTGAACAATCAGTGTAACTTCATCAAGTATTACCTAGGTAAAGGCAGCAGTACTAATGTGCTGTTGCATTAATGTAGTAATGTGCTGTCTTTCTGTGCTGATCGGGTGTAGTATTCTGTACAGGGAGGTGTAAAACTCCATGTGACAAAAAATCCTAAAGTCTTGCTGCGAAAGTCAAATTCTTGACTGATTCAGTAGGTTTACTTTATAACTAAAAAAAAGAGCTAATTGTGGAATTTAATTTTCAGTGCAATATAAAATTTGATCCTTGCAAATTTCCAACCAACATCTGCATTAGAAAAACGTTGTCAGCTAGTAAGCTTGAAGAGAACAGCAGAGATGATGTCCAAAGGAAAAACCCATTTAAACAGAGGCATGGAATGGGAGATTTAACTGTTGGTCTCAGTGTTTTCTGCCTGCTCAAGGGTGGAAGTGTGAGTAGAAGACTCCTTGTCCTCAGTTGTATGATGCTTACAGCAAGATGCAGTCTCTAGTGTCCAGACCTGAGACACTAGGGAAAACTCATTGAAAGCAATTAGCAAGTCTGGTTGCTAAACCGAGTTTTTCAGAGCTTTGCTGATGATCTGAATCAGGAGAAAACAAAGACTGCTAACTTCTGATGTTTTAGTCTTACAGATCACATCTGTATCTGAAAGTGTGGAGCAGAAATATTTTAACTCCAAACATTGAGGAAGATAGCATAAAATTTCATCTGAATTAAGAAACCAAATACCAGTATTTTTGGTGACTTTCTTGGGGCAGGTTACATGTGACAGAAAGAGAAATGCATTTGGTCCTATGACAGATGACAGCTATCACAGAGCCTAAGGTTTAAGATCTGACAGTATATTTTCTCACTTCTGTCAAAACTGTTGAGAGAGTACAGATTTGTCCCAAAAGCAGGGTCTCTCAACCCAGTGTCCAAGAACCTGATCCACACACAATCGAGATACTTGCTTTGGCATCCAGCTCTGTACAGAAAAGGGAGTAGGGTGGTATTCCACAAAGCAAGCTCAGCTTCCTGAAGCACAAAGGCTGCTTTTATACCCCAAAAAAGGGAAGAGCTTTATCTCTAACATTCTCTTTCTCACACATGATTAGTCAAGTAATTCATCCCTTCCAATTAAAGTGACAGTGCTTAAAAATGTCTCTACACCTGCTTAAAGAATGGGGGGCTTTTTGTTAGTAGGGGCCTCTCTGACCTGTGGGTGAGTATTTTAGCTCATTAATATGGTGATTCCAGTGCTCAAGGCTGTAATGAAGACAAGCTGTGGGCAGTACTCCTTTCAATCCCTTTCATCTGTCCTGCTGGTGTCTCAAGGCCCAGCTTTTGCCTACTTGAGGTGTGTTTTTCTCTAATTGGAGTCTAGTTTTGTCTAATTCTTACATTTTAACTCTTATCTAGGCCCCCTTTTAATCTGTGTATCCCTTATGTTATCTTTTATGTACTTTTTTTCAGCAAATGTGATTTATTTTTCCCAAAATTCTACCTATTTCAATTAATGACTAACCTCGCAGAGAGGATCAGAGGCTTGATTATTCCTGTTGCTTGTGTAACTTCAACAAGAACAAGCCTAGGCTCTGCTTGTGAAATCTTTGACAATGTATTTTAGTAGTCCATAAGCATAAAATCAAACTTTTGACTAAGCAATTATAGCTGAGGGAGAGGGCCTCAGTCCACTCAGTTGTACTGGCTGGACACAAAGATTTCCATGGCAAAAGTTTCAGATGGGATGAACAACTCCCAGGGTGGCATGAGCCTAAGGTAACAAATTATACTGTCCTTGGCTTCAGGGATAACCAGTTGAACAACATACATTGAATTTTGTCCCTGACAGGGCTATTAAAAGGGACAGCTTCCTGCTAAAGTGTGTTAAGATGTTTAAGAGATTCTACTACTGAGTACATAGCCTCCATCACAAACAAGATTCTGTGCCATTAGAAATCATCAGCACGTAAGCTGGCTGGCAAGATGCAGTGCCAGATGTTGCCTGCTGCTATGCAGTGCCGTCAGGAAGCTCCATTTGGTTTTGGCTGTAGCAGCTGATAGTGGCAAATGACTGAATCCAGGCCAAAGCCATCTCTGGTGTGCTGGACCACACCTACTACAACAAGATGTTTTGCATCACTGCCTTTGCAGCTTACTTCTGGAGATGTACAAAAGCCTATAAAATGTAAAAGTCTGGAGATATTTTGGGTTTTGGGCATCTTCAAGGCATAAAATATTTTGTATGGGTTGCCCTGTGAGAAAAGGAGGGGTGTGGTTTTTGCATTATGCATGGAAGAAATTGAGGTATGTGTCAAATCTGTCGTAGCTGACTTAGATGGAAGTGGTTTGCCTAAAAACCAGAAAGGATAAGTAAAGGACCTTGGGTTAAGCCTGTGTTGATCCATGAACCAGACTTTCAGCTTTTTTCATCCAATATTATTTCTCTTACTGATTCAAATTTTGGATTAATATCTTCAAATTCAGTAGAAAAATAAAATGAGTTCTTGCTTATTCAGCCTTAATTTTTGTTAACATTCTTTAAACAAAAGGTTGCATAGTTTTAAGGAAAATAATATTTTAAAATAGAACTGATACAAACTGGTAAAAGTTGTGGCTTGAAATAGTTAATTCTGTTCAGTTCACAAGTGGTTTGTATATATCCTGAAGCACAACAGCAGAAATTAAATTAACCCAAGCTGGCATAAACTAAACTGAGGTAGGTTTTTTTAATGACTTAACACGCTGGCCCCAGTAAGCCAGGCTGAGCATGTAGCCTCTTCAGTTTATTCTATGTGTCGATCTCTAATGGTAATTATTGTACAGGATCATGTTTTTGATTCATTGTAACTAGTCTGAAAACAGATGAAGTGATTTAGCTGCTAGGAAACCATGTAGACAGGCCATTTCACTGTGGTTTTATTGTCTCAAAAGCAGGGTCCATCACCCGGTGTGCAAGCAGCCGATCCACACACAGAGTTCAGATCCTTGCTTTGACATCCAGCTCTGTGCAGAAAGGGGGGCAAAGCAAGCTCAAGCTTCCTGAAGCACAGGGGCTACTTTTATACCCAAAACCACAAGAAAGAACTTCAAAGTTTGATCATTCCCACACATGATTAGTCAAGTAATTCCTCCCTTCCATTTAAAGTGATAGTGCTCAAAACTTCCACTACGCCTGCTTAAAGAGTGGGAGGCTTGTTGGTAGTAGATGGGTGTGTTTTTTAGTATGGTAATAGTTAATAATATAAAATAAATATGGTGATTCTAGTTATTCAGTGTTTTCCCCTCAGTGCTCAAGGCTGGCCAAGCTGTGGGCATTGCTCCTTTCCATCCCTTCCATCTGTCCTGCAGACCTGTCTCAAGGTTGGGCTGTTAACTGCTGGGGATGTGTTTTTCTCTAATTGGAATCTGGTTTTGCCTAACTCTTACTGTTATCTAGGCCCTATTTTTATTCTGTGTGGCCTTTAGACAACATAAGGGATTTATGTGATTTTTTTTTTTTCCCCTAAATGTGATATTTTTTTTACCCCCAAATTTTACTTACTTCAATTAAGAACTGATATCAGGTTCACAGATTAACAGCCCAGTAAAGTCATATTTCTGTCAATAATTAATACATAAGCACCAACACTGTTCAGTTGGATTAAATTTATAGTATCCTGTCTTTCAGACCCAAGTCTTTTTTGTTTTTTAAAAAGGGGAGTTACGTTTATGTGAAATGGACTGTTTATTTATGGACTGTTTATTCAGGTTCCCGGGATGGTTCAATGGGTCTCTGGGAAGTCACAGAGGATGTATTGTCCAAAAGTGATGCCAGGCACAATCTCTCCCAAGTTCCTGTCTATGCCCACATAACACACAGGGCTCTGAAGGATATCCCCAAGGAGAACACCAATCCTGACAACTGCAAAGTCCGAGCATTGGCTTTCAACAATAAGAACAAGGTCAGTAAGATAAGCAAGACAGCTGAGAAGTCCTACTACTGTCCTCTATATATTGCAAAAATAATAAAAAAAATCTAAAAAAAGAATACCAGAGAAGCAGCCTAGTATTTTTTCCTAATCCTTTTGCATCCATCTCATATGAGATGGTTGCTTGTTTCTGCTATGTCTGCGTCTGCCTCAAGTGATTGAAGAAGTCCAGTAGAAAAAAGAAAACAGTCTCAGTGTTTTCAGAAAGAACAATTTCCCTGTGGGTTTGATTTTTAGACTTGCACAAGGGAGACAGGGAATGTTTAGAAGAAAAAGATAAAACAGCAAAATCTCTCTTGCAGCTTGAATCCCACTCTTGAGCTCTCTTACTGGTTTCCTTCCTGTTTTGTGAAGACCAGCCAACATTCAGGGAGTTCCTGTTTTGATGACTGAGTTGTTAGTGTAGCTCAGCAAGTGAGGTGACCGACACACAGGGCAGGCACCAGTGCTTGCTTTGATGTTATTTTGTTTGTGTTTGACAAACAGTAAATGTTAACCTCCCGTATGCTGATCTCTTGTCATTATTAGTATTGCTATTATTAATAGTAACTACTATTCATCCTCCATTGCTTTACTTTCTTCCCTCAAAGAACACAGGAGGTCTGAAGCAAAGGTGGGTGAGCTGTCAAAAGCAGGATGCTCCTGTGGGCTTCATGTTTCACTGTACCTGTTAATTAGTCCTCTGTGATGGGGACTTCATATAGTTTTTCAAGTAGAGTAGTGCCTGAAAAGAAATGTTTGCTTCAGAGTCAGAATCAGTGTGGGAGCTGCTGAAGGGAATTGCCAACTCTGACTTGTACTAGTACTTCATTATTTGATTGTCTAGCAAGATCTGTACTTTCAGAAAAAATGTTGGTTATTTACTGCTTTATTAATTCTTTCTCTTTCTGGCACCTTTGTCCTGTATTGCATTCTGTCAAGATCAGTATGAGATGGAAGTATATCTTGATAAGCATGTACAGGATTGTGGATGAGTTAAATACAGGGTGTGCATCCTGCCTAGTATAGTAGAGTGTGAGAGTTTGTAAGAGAGTTTGTAAGAACATATGTAATACAGAAACACTTTTATCTCTTTTTATAGGAGCTGGGAGCTGTGTCCCTAGATGGATATTTTCATCTTTGGAAAGCAGAGCACACACTATCAAAGGTGCTTTTCTGTTCATTAGTGTTAAATTTCAAACACTGCCTAGCACTTAAGGCTGTTCGCTGTACTTCTTCTCCCTTAATTGCCTGAAAGAGCAGCAATGTTTTTAAAAGGCTTCAAAGTTTTATTTGAAATGAAATGTCATAAAAATTAGAGCTTGAGGAGAGAAACTCCCCACTCCCCTTACTTTAGAGGGTGGGAAGTGCTCTTACATTCCCACTAGTTCTGAGTTAGCTGAAGGGAACCATTGCATAGAATGTGATGGATACTTGATTAGCAGCTTTTGTAAAGGAAGCTGTGCTCATTTAGGTGTAATTGCAGATCAAACCCAGACATATCTGTGCTAGTGTGTGAAGCTTTTTCAGGTGAGAGCTACTATCTGTGTACACCTGCTGAAGAAATAACACCTTAAAAAGATGTAAAGCAACTTCACAGAATGTTTGTTGTTCTTTCCATAAGACTTAGCTTCAGCCTTTATCATCTCAGGTTTGATCAGATAGGGCATCCCATCTCCATTTTTTTATTATTTTTTTTTTTCCCTCTGGGTCAAGTTGTTTTTCCCTTAAAGTTCTATTTTTGTGGTGGTCTTATTTTTTAGCTGAATTTTTGTTTTTTTCACTGCAGCTTCCTTGAAGATAGTTTACAGGATTGTTATATTCATGTCTTGCTCTCTCCCCACAATGGCTTGATTTTTATTTCTTCTGTTTCCAGCTACTTTCCACGAAGTTGCCATACTGCAGGGAGAACGTGTGTTTGGCTTATGGTCAGGAGTGGTCAGTGTATGCAGTAGGATCACAAGCACATGTCTCCTTTCTGGATCCAAGGCAGCCTCCTCACAATGTGAAATCTGTCTGTTCCAAAGAACGGGGCAGTGGTAAGAAACACGTCGAAGGGTGCTTCAGGGGGTTTGCTAGTGGAAATAGCTATTAAAACTACAGTAAGATAAGATTCTAATAAATGGGAAGGGTTGTTCTCTTCAATAAATGGCAAGACTAAATTGTTACTAGTATAGCTAGGTTTTGCTTTTATGACAGTATTCCTGGAGCAATCAACAAACCAAAGTGACTGAAATCTGATGATAGACATTTGTACTTTTACAATCAACTAAATTGTACACCATCCAAATATTACTGAACTTAAAAGTGTACATTTTACTTCTACTTAGTTTTTACTGTTTCTTTACTCTGTTTTACTTCATCTTAAAGCAAATCCAGTCTTTGTACCACTATTAATACTATGTATTTTTGCATTTTTTTCTCTGGGAATGGACAAAAAGCATGTTGTCTTGCTCCGTGCTCTTGTACTAGGAGTTGGAGCTGTGTGTGAATGCTTGCTTTGTAATCTAAAGCCATGAGTGAGTCTTAATTTTCAAAGCGTATTTATTTGCTTTAAGTATTGAAAAGCTCACATTTAAAAAAAAAAAAAAAGTTGCAAATGTGGGTGCCATTTTCCTTTTCTGACACGGATGCATTGCATCCAGTAAGACCTTACACCAAGCCCAAGCATGAGAGCTGGCAGGGGCTGTGGTCCCATACTCCTCATTTTCAAGCATGAGAAGACACTGAACTGTGATGCCCATTTAAAACCATATTAATTAATCCCAGATTAGTAAATTGCAGTCTTTATTTAGCTTGGCTCTAGGCATCATCATCTTATCGGGCAAGTTATCAAAAGAGAATGTGTATAGGCAAGGTATAGGAAGGGTTTATCAATGGGTCCAGATGGAATACACCCACAAGTGCTAAGAGAGCTGGTGAAGGTCATTGCTAGGCCACTCTCCATCTTCTTTGGTAAGTCGTGGGCAACAGGAGAGGTGCCTGAAGCCTGGAGGATAGCAAATGTCACTCCAGTCTACAAGAAGGGCAAGAAGGAGGACCTGGGTAACTGTTGGCTGGTCAGACTCACCTCCATCCCTGGAAAGGTGATGGAACAACTTGTTCTTGGCACTATCTCTAGGCTTATCAAGGATGAGGGGCTCATCAAGAGCAGTCAACACAGTTTTACCAAGGGGAAGTCATGTTTGACCAACCTTATAGCCTTCTATGAGGAAGTAACTAGCTGGATAGATGATGGTAGGGTGGTAGATATGGTTTGTCTTGATTTCAGTAAAGCATTTGACACCGTCTCCCACAGCATCCTCACAGATAAACTGAGGAAGTGTGTTCTTGATGGTCAGGTAGTGAGGTGGATCATAAGCTGGTTGAAAGGAAGAAGTCAGAGTTGTGGTGAATGGGGCAGAATCTAGTTGGAGGTCTGTGACTAGTGGAGTCTCTCAGGGGTTAGTACTGGGACCGGTACTGATCAATATTTTCATCAACGACCTGGATGAGGGAACAGAGTGTGCCCTCAGCAAGTTTGCTTGCATCTGGGGAAGAACAAGCCCATGGACCAGTACAGGCTGGGGGCTGACCTGCTGGAGAGCAGTGTAGGAGAAAGGGACCTGGTGGTCCTGGTGGACAGGAGGATGACCATGAGCCAGCAATGTGCCCTTGTGGCCAAGAAGGCCAGTGGCATCCTGGGGTGTGTTAGAAAGGGTGTGGTTAGTAGGTCAAGGGAGGTTCTTCTCCCCCTCTACTCTGCATTGATGAGGCCACATCTAGAATATTGTGTCCAGTTCTGGGCCCCTCAGTTCAAGAAGGACAGGGAACTGCTTGAAAGAGTCCAGCACAGAGCCACAAAGATGATGAACGGAGTGGAACATCTCCCTGATGAGGAAAGGCTGAGGGAGGTGGGTCTCTTGAGCTTGGAGGAGACTGAGGGGCAACCTCATCAATGTTTACAAATATGTTAAGGGTGAGTGTCAGGAGGATGGAGACAGGCTATTTTCAGTGGTGTCCAGTGATAGGACAAGGGGCAATGGGTGCAAACTGGAACATGGGAGGTTCCATGTAAACATCAGAAAAAAATTTTTTCCTGTGAGAGTGACAGAGCCCTGGAACAGGCTGCCCAGAGAGGTTGTGGAGTCTCCTTCTCTGGAGACATTCAAAACTCACCTGGGCGTGTTCCTGTGTGATGTGCTCTGGGTGATCCTGCTCTGGCAGGGGAGTTGGACTAGATGATCTTTCAAGGTCCCTTCCAACCCCTAAGATTATGTGTTTCTGTATGATTCTGTGTGTGGTTACTGGAGTTTGAGCAGTGTTGTGAAGATAAATGTCAGGGTCTGTTGCTTTCAGCTGCAGGAGGAGTTTCTATGGTAGGTGGAAGTCCTGACGCTGTCACCTTCAGTATCATAGGGAAGAAATATCAAGGCACTGGGATGTAGTCGCTGGTGGCTGAAAGATTTTGCCTTCAGTATGTGATCATCCTTACTGGGGTGATGTAAGGAGTGTCTTTGGGGCACTAGTTCATGTCTGGACAAAGTTTGTTCAGTGCTGCTTTCTGCTCTGCGTAATAGGCAGATGCTTTTTGGCATGGTGGTGGAGACAGTTAGGTAACATTATTTCCCAAGATACCAAGTGTTTCAACTTTCTGTTGATCTCATGGGGACTTGGACTGGTGCAGCACCTGTAGAAAGCAGGGTGTTTGTAGACTAAAATCTGAGTAGATGTATAAGTGCTTTGAAGTGTTACCTGAATGTGCTTTCAGGTTCCAGATGGATCTGCTGAAGGTGGTAAGTTCACATTAACTTCAGATCACTAGTGTTCTACACAAAAGCAGGTCAGAGGAAGGTTGGTAGGACTGGAACGGGGGCTGTTTTTTACCCAATGTAACCCTGTCTGCTGTACATCATAAGGCAGCTAATGCTTTTTAGTGTATCTTGTAAATGTTGCTTTTCTTAGCAACTCTACAGGGAGGCAAGTGTAGGCCCTAAACTCTCTACTTCTTGAACTGCAAGAGTAACTGCTTCCTGCTGGGCTGGTGTGCAGTGCTACCCTGTCTGCCCTTAACTTTGTATCCTGAAGGCAGCAACTGTAATGTAGGGGACAGAGCTGTGCAGGATAGACTGTGTCTTCTCCTTGTGTAGGACATGCTACTGTGTTTTGATTTCCTTCTGGTATTTGCAGAGCCTCCTTGCCTCTTGGGAGTGAGACTCAATTTGTTGAGCCAAATAGTCCAGGTCCACAAGTGGCAGAGTGCTGAATATGTTGGAGAGCTTACTGTGATCAGTTGTAGGCCTAGGTTGTGCTTTTAGTTTGATGAGAATTATGAATCTGAGGTACTTCAGCTTCTTAGGAGCTGATTTGAAGTGCTGTTCTTCAAAGCCTGCTCTAAATACCCTCTTAATAGTGGGTACATCTCAGATTCTTTGCTTAATTTTTTTGAGTAGAGAAAGATCCAGAGTTCTGCATTTTATAGCTTTTTTTTATTAATAATTTGTGCTGAAAAGTATATGCCATCTGCTTTCATACTCCATCACCTTTCCCTGTTAAGTGTTCTGGTAGGTTGCTTGTCAAGAGCACTTATGAAGCAAAAGTAAGAGGATGTCCCTTCTTGTGCCTTTTTCTTCTAATCCAAGTGACTGCTCTTGCTGATTGCAGCTTTCTGCTTGAATTTGCCAGGCCCTTGTACTGGGGAGGGGGGTGGGTGGGCAGGAAGTATCTCCAACTTACTTAGACAAAATTTGTAGTTCTCTGAATTAAAGCAGAGGTTTTTACATTAGTCTGATAAACCTAATTCAGCAGGTGTGCAACTTGCAGAGTGGTTTCCCACCTTTTCAGGCTGCAGCCAAGCCTTCACTTACACCTGCAGTACAACAGCACGGCCTTGCCTTTTCTCAGTGTGTGCCACAGATGCTGGTGGCTGTGGGTGTAGCATCAGGCAGCAGAGGTGGAGGGTTGAGGATGTGTCTGTTGTCAGGGCTCTGTACAAAGGGGAGGGGTAAACTCCCTGGCTGCATCCACACCTCTCAGATGTCTGCTGTCATGTGTCCTGTGGGGGGTATTCCAGTATGTTACAAGTTTTGTGATGCTCAGACCCACTTGGTATGGTGGCAGCAGTTGGCATGTGGATGTAGCTGGCCTAGCTCACCTCTTTTACCATCCTGTTTGAATGCTTGTTAGGCCACAATTCAGCGGTGCTTTAAAGAGGACTTTAAAAGCCCTGGAGTTCATAACCTGGTGTCATGTTGTGCAGGAAGGAAAAGCATAGATGTGGCAGGATTTAATCTGTGTAAAGGAGTTGTTTGGGGTGGAGTGCTCACACAGAACAAACCTTTTGCACAATAGAGATGAAATGACAGGACATCTTGCAAACTGCACATTTCCAGTTACAGAATCTCCCCCAAGACTGTTTCCAAGGGATCCTTGTTTAGCTGAGGCTTCAGATTTAGATTTTGGAAAACCAAAATATATCCCTTTTACTCAATTGAATGACATAACTGAATCCTGCTAGAATATTTTGTTTGGACTGGAGACTTCTTGTAACTTCCCAAGTGCTGGTATAACGTAGTGTTGCTTAGGTTTTAGGATTCCTAGTCTGTCTTTATTGCTGGGTGAAGTGCTAGCAGTGCCAGCTAGAAAGAAGAGGGTTTGCTTGTGCAAGAGTATTTGAGTAGAGAGAGCTTCAAAATTATTTAAGAGCCTGATTCGACTTAGCAGCAAAGTGACTAGTGATGGTTATGGTTATAGCTCCTTATAGCTTGCCTATTGTTCAGCAAAATGCACTTAGTGGCAGCTGGGACAGTAATTTTTTTTCACATGGTTGCTTATCACAGCCTGGCAGGTAGCCAGATAGGGTGTGAGCTCATGGAGGAAACCACTTATGTTCTTTCCTCTCTTTGCTGCCATGTGCTTACTCATGGTTTGTTCATCTAGAGGCTCATGGCAGACAGAACAAAGCTGCCCTTATCCTAAATGGTTTATGTTCTTTGCTAGTCTGGGAGAGCTGGTGTACACCATCAGCATAGCTGATGGCCTCAGGAGGAGGGAAGTAGTATGTGTAATTCAAACTCCTGTTTCAGTAGCGTCAGCAGGGTTTGTTTGCACTGCTCCATAGCACAGGAAGCTTAAGTGTTGCAGAGAACACCAGTGAGAATTTCCTTTTAAAGAAAATATTAGACACCAGGCAGTGAGAGCACCCATCTTCTTACTGTGTCCTGTGTCTCTTTTGTTCTGCAGGTATTCGGTCGGTGAGCTTCTACGAGCACATCATCACGGTGGGAACAGGACAAGGCTCCTTACTGTTTTATGATATCAGAGCTCAGAGGTTCCTGGAGGAAAAGCCCCCACGTGTCTGCTGTGGACAGAAGCAGAAGTTAGGAGGAAGTGAAATTTTGAAGCTGACTACTGGCAAAGGCTGGCTGGTGAGTGGTGTGAGGCTGTGGGAGACCCTTTCCACAGGAGTCCCGCAGAGCTCAAGAGCTGATTCTTGTAGTCATGGGGGAGCTATTTTATGAAATGTGTTGCAGCAAAACACTGATCATGTAACCAGTAGCTGTAATAATTAAAACCAAGAAGTGCTGCAGGATTGCTTTCTACAAATAAGAGGGTATTCAACCGTTAGTTGCTTGAGTGTAAGGCGTATTGACTACTTCTCCTGTGCACTGATTCATAAATGAACTAGATTTTCTATCTTTGTTTTCAAAGGTAATCTAACTTCTAGTTTTCACAACCTCAAACACAAAATACATTGTCTTTCAAGAACATGCTATTGTAATGTGGTACTGAAAGAGATTTAACTGAATTGTGTGCAGTTTTAGAAACTGTGGGTTTCTGAAATAATGTTATGGCAGGTACTTGAGTTCAGTTTCCTGTATGTTATCATAAAGCAGTTAATGACTTTGTCTAACTTCTCTCCATTTTCTTCTGTATCATTGTGATGTAACTTTAAAAGCTAATAATAGAATCATCATAGAATGCATTGAGTTGGAAGAGACCTTAAAGAGCATCTAGTTCCAACCAACCTGTAGTGGCAGGGGCCCCTCCCACTAGACCAGGTTGCTCCAAGCCCCATCCAAAATGCCCTTCAACACTTCCAGGGATGAGGCATCCACAGCTTCTCTGGGAAATCCAGGCCAGTGTCTCATCCCCCCCACACACTAAAGAATTTCTTCCTAATGTCTAACCTACATCTCCCTTCTTCCAGTTTTGATCCTTTACTTCTAGTCCTCTCACTAACAAAACTTGGTGTATCATCTTCCCTACTTTTCACCTTCTCCCCTCCAATGTGTGGCCCAAATGTCCTCAGAAAAAGCTTCAGGGCAACTGCAGTGTTTTCAAGTTGATCTGTCTGAAGCTTCAGGGAGTACCAACATGAAAGGTCCCTTTTCTGGGCTCTGGAAGCTACCCTCTGTTTTTGTGAAACAAGGCTTTGTGTTTGTTTGGCAACAATAACAATCTAAACTTTCCTTTAACAGAATCATGATGAAACCTGGAGGAATTATTTTTCTGACATAAATTTCTTCCCAAATGCTGTTTACACCCACTGCTACGACTCGTCTGGAACGAAACTCTTTGTGGCAGGAGGCCCCCTTCCATCAGGACTTCATGGGAATTACGCTGGTCTCTGGAGCTAATGATAACTCTTTATAAATGCTGATCTTTACAGAGATTTCCACTTTTATTTTTAACAACAAAATTGTGTGATGCCATTGATTTCTGATTTAAATGCAAGTTATTTTTTGGCAGAGTTTTCTGTTGGTCTCCAACAGTTTTGTACACCTTTTTGAACCAGTTTTTTGCTTTAACCTCCTTGATCCTTTGTATGAAGGGTTTTCTGTGAAAGTCTAGGGGCTGCGTGTGTGCAGGTACTTTGTGTCAGTTACATTACCTGGAGTGAGGACTACTTATAATTAAAAAAAATATTAAAAAATATTTATAAGAGATAAGCTACTACTTTATCTGCAGAGCCTGGCCCTGGCCTGGGTTGATCTTATTTTTTAAAAGTACAAGTCTAATGACACTGTTTATACATAGAGGAATACATTAATTTTAATCTGTACTCATTGGAGCCCAGGGGTGGATTCCCCAGAGTACTGCCCATCAAGTCCAAACTGTAAAAGAGCAGGAGTTCTCAAACATGCATTTTTATTTGAATTGTTTTCAGCTATGCCAGGAGCAAAAATTTGTTCTGTTCCTCCTCTGCCTGTCCCAGTTATCAGCTTGCTCGACTGGGGCTTGCCTAAACAAGGTGGCTATTGCAGGGTGACTTTTCATTGAGGGCCTGCAGAGGTGCTGAGAAGAAATGGGGGCTAGGGACACGAGTGTTCTTGTTATTCAAAAATTAATTAAATCCATAAATTTTCCACATAAGCCAGGGTTCCCAAGTATGCTGCAATAGTTAGCTCATGGATTCTTAATAAACTGCCTAAAACCCAGGACCTTTTTGTCCCAGGTTGTGGGAACTTTTCCCATTTTTCCCATTGCTCTGGTTTGCCATCTCCTTTAATAAGCCAATGGAATAAATAAACTTGTTTTTTTTTTTCTCCAAGGTTGAAGAGTGAATCTCAGACTTGTCTAATGCAAAGCTAGAGGCTTTCTGTGTAGCTAAATGCTGTTAGCTCATGTTGTGCTAGCATCTGCTGTCATCCTGCTTGCTACAGGAGAGGTTCAGCCTTTCCCCAGATCCCCTGCTGTCTTCTGCATTCAGACTTCATGTGGCAAGGGTTAGTGGGTGGGGAGAACAGGTCAGATACCCTTCAGATCCAGCCCTGAAGCATGTGCAATTCCAGGGTGATGGTCTCACCTAATACTCAGCTAAAATGAAGGACTCCAGGGTGCTCCTCCTAGCTTTTTGGCAGGCACCAAAATCCTAGCTTGTTGCTGATGCCTCTGTCCTTGGCTGGGATGAATGCCTTTACCCTGCCTGTGTCACTTGTGGAGCAGAGCATGCCTGTACCTTGCTGCTTTGGTGCCAAATGGGCAGTTGGTTGAAGCTGAGAAGAAAGACAAGGCTGGGACATGCTCAGTTCTTCAGTCTCTGCTGGAGATCACAGCCAGCACTGCACAGTTGCTATAGTCCCCTACACAGTTCCTGCCAGACTGCCTAGAGCTAGTACGCATGTGTCCTTGCTGTCCTGTCCTCTTTGTACTTAATGTCTTCATTAGTACATGTCAAACAGTGAGCCTCAAGCTTAATTTTCAGTTGGTAGTGGAGGCTTGGATGGAAGTCCTGCAAGAAATGCCATTCCCTCCCTGGCAAGAGAAGAGCTCCCAGATGTGTACTTGTACCAGAAGTGTGTTTACCTACACTGAGTACTGACATGAAATGCCACAAGATTTGTGAAGCACCCATAATTATACTTCCCTCATGGGTTGGTTGCTTAAACTTAAGTTCATGGCACAGTGTGTGTGGCTCTTCAGGCTCTCCTCTGATAAGGGACAGATTATATACTATGGGGTATCAAAGGAGCACTCAAGTTTTATTTAGAATTGTTAGTTGTGGGGTTTTTTTAAGATACGGTAATGGTGCCTGTGTTCTATTGTGGCAACATCCTGCTTTGTTTATTTTAGGGATTTCAAAAAGAATACAGAGAAAAATGCGTATTTCTAGGATTACTCCTCCAGCTCTGTCACAGCAAACCTGTCATGTTCTGTTTTTTATTAGGACTTGGTTTGAAGTGCAGTTTTCTTCACTTTTTAAAAAAATTTTTGGTTTAAGAAACTAGACACTTTAAAACTTGAGAGTCCTTCAGTTCTGCTGAAACAACAGTCACTAGTTAGGCACCTAGTGTCAGTAGTGTCAAAGGAGAGCTCCTGGTTTGGAAATCCTAGCTCTGATGCTGAGCTATTAATTGAAACATACTTCAGGTCTGGATGAGGGCACAAAAAGGGTATTTGTATAGACTCAGCTTCAGCTTCCAAACAGTCTGATCTTTCTGTACAGTCAGCAGAATCTCTAGGTTTCTGACTTGGCCACCTTCTCCTTCTGACTGATCTCCCTAAGTACCTCAGCGTGTGGTCCTCGTAGTGTCAGTGCCCTTTATTTATGTATTTTATTTTTTAGTAGGAAGCTTTGGACTTTTCTAGAAGAATGGACAATGATGTAAAATTACTCAAGTCCCACATACTTCCACATATTGTTTTCAGGGTGCTTTCTTGCAAAAATAACTTATTATGGGGAGGGAGCCATCCTTGTTGCTGTATGAAAATTGACCCAAAAAACTGGAAATAAAGTGGATGGTGCTGCAAGGATGCAAACAAACTGGGCAAGATAACTTAATTTCTAGCCTGCTTCAGTTGTTTTAAATGCTTGTAGTGATATGATGTTTCAGGATATTTAGTTGTTGGTCGTATGTCACTTTTGGTCCTGTCAGTTTTAGAAATTGAAGCTGAGAAGGGTGGTGGCATGACAACTGTTCAAAGATAAGTGAAATCCAGGTTTTCTTAATTGATTTGATTCTGTTGCCCTGTTGGGCAAGGGAACCTCTGGGCTCCACATGGAGGTGATTTGGGTGCACCCTGTTGTTCAAGTGGCAGATGCACCCCTGTGCAGATGGATGGAGATCAGTCTGATGGCTGCTCTTCAGTAGCTTTTTGGATGGCTCACTGTGCTTTCCTGAGACCCAGTGCCACACACATTTTCAGACAGTCTTGCCTTCTCCAAAGTTTTTTAATTGCTCCCTTGCTTTTTCCTGTCCTTCCTGAATGGTCTCTTTGGGTCTGCCTCCTCCACCCCAAATCATCCTAGTCTTTATTGTAGCAACATTATATGTGCAGAGGTGACCTTCATCAAGCAGAAATGGGCTTGCTGGCATTTTGTCAGCAATCCTGGAGACCTTCAATTTGGTTTATTTTAAACTGGGTAGACCTTTGATGCTGGCTCAGACTGTAGAACTGGGCAGTTGCCCTTGGAGGTTCTTGACTGGGGTTACACAGGAATGATCTATTCCTGGGGTAGGACAGACTCTGGTTTATCTCACATTAGGCACTTGAAAGAGAGAAAATAACTTTCAATTGTAGCAGACCTTCAGACTTCTCTTCCTGTATTGACTTTTCAGTCATGTAAATCTTTTGTGCTACTACTGAGTGCCTATGCTAATTTTACTGCTCGCCTCTTTTCAGCAGACTACCATGTTAGCTTGAGTATCTTTGGGTATTACATTTTCAATATTCATAATCACAGGTAATCAAACTAGTGACTTAACGATGGGTTTGGTAATACCCACCTTGTAAGTACTGGGTTACAACCTCTCAGTAACAACTGGGTATATGTGATGGACATTCCCAAGGAAGCAGAGGCTACTTTGTAGTGGTGACGTAAGCATAGCTATGAAGGGTGGTGCTCACCCTCTTCACCCAACACCCAATTCCTGGTAATTCCTTCAGCTTTTTCCCTTGTACAGTCAAGTCAACCAGGGGGTATTGCTGGTGCTCTCCTTGAGTGCTCTCTGGGATTGAGGTGAAGAAGTGGGTTCATTTGTTTGGTTCCCTCATCTGTGATGCTGGTGTTAATCCAAGGTGACTAAATTACCAAAGAATAGTTAACGGGTGTTTGTTCCTACTCTCAGTTGTTCGTTTTCCACATAGATCCATTTTTAATATTAATTGCAAGAGTGCCCAGTGATCTTACTGGACTTAGTGTGTCCACAAAGTTTACATTAATGTTGTGAGTGACTCTTGTGACTCCTTTAATGACAGGGACCCTGAGCTTCACTATGGGGATATATTTGCTGCCTCTATTTCATGTCTTTTGGCAGCTTTTTGTATCTTAAGATTCTTATGTATCTGTTACTCTTCTCCAGAATTTCATCCTCTTCCTTCACCTGAGTACTTGCTTTGTATATAGCTGCAGAGTTAACAGATTAAAGTTATGATCCAGCTATGTGGAGTGGTGGTTTGGTGTCTTAATTTCTGCCCCTCTGACCTTGTGAATTAATGTCCCTCACCTATGCAGTTGTAAAATAAAGCAGGCTTGCCTAGGCCCTTCATGGAGATCACCTGTTTTGTTTGCAGGAAACCAAGGACAAGCTGTCTGTTGCTGCCTCTTGTTAGAGTAGCAGCATTTTCAGCAGCCAGGTGGGAGCTCTGAGGTCTGTTTGTGGTGGTCTGATACCCTTATTTTCCATAAACCCACTTTTCTAAGGTTTCTGAAAAGGTTCTTAATTAGCTCCTGTCACAGTTTCTGCTGTGACTAAATTATTGAGCCGGGGTGCAGCTCGTTTGTATGAACGCTGTTGCAGAGCAGCAGTGTGTGATGCAAGTGGAGCTGGTTGGCCAGCCCCGTGCTGAGCCCTGGATTCCTGAGCTAGCCAGGCACACACTCCTTAGCTTAACACCAAAAGAAGATCCACATGTGCACCACTGGCCATCCCGCAGCCATGACCTCAACTCAAAATGCATTTCTGTGTGTTGCAGTGCCTTCAGTAACTTACTTGAAAGTCCCTGAAGCACAGCCTCCAGGAATCTGTCCATGAGAGTGGAAAGGAGAATATAGCCACATCTTATCTGAAGGGATCTCCTGCATATGATCTCCCTTTCTCTGCAAGCAGGCATTTTGGTCTGTGGGGAGGATGACCAAGGAGGCACAAGAGAAGAGGTGAAAGCCCAACAGTGTTTGTTATTGCTCTCCTGAGGAATTCAAAAGCAGAGAGGGGATACTTGTTCATTGCTCAGGATGTAGCTGTGAGAGTTCAATCGGAAACATTTTCAGAGAGATCAAGTAGACACCCCTGTAATTCTTGCTTCTCCATGTTACATTTCAAGGTTTTAAATCAGGAGCTATCTTTTTGCTTGTGATCCTGGGTTTCTTTATCAAAATCATGTGGTACTTTGCTA